CAACCTTTAAGAAGGATGGTGATAAGATTGAGAAGTCGAGGAAGAAACCCTTTAAGGGGTTATGCAATTATTGCAAGAAACCGGGTCACATTAAAGCTAATTGCTTCAAATTGAAGAACAAACAAGAAAGTAAAAGTACAACTCTTCAAACTGCCCCTCTAGTTCTAGTTTGTTTTGAATCTAACACTATTGAAACTTTCTTTGACTCATGGTGGTTAGATTCTGGTGCCACTGTACATGTTGTGAATTCTCTACAGGGGCTAAAAAACTAGAAAGTTCTAAGTGAGGCACAGAGGTCAGTCTTTGTCATAGCAGGGAGTAAGGCATCAGTTGAATGCATTGGAACTATTTCATTATATTTAAATTCTGGTCATGTTTTAAATTTGAACAATGTTATTTATATACCTTCTGCGAAGAGAAATTTAATTTCAACTTCTACATTGGATATTTATGACTATTCATTCTTCCAAGAAAATGGAAAAAATTGACATTTGTTTTGATTCCATTAATGTTGATTGTGCTTCCTTGATACATAGTTTATATCGATTGAATAATTGGTCACTTGAACTTCCTAATCTTCATATCAATGCTGCTATTGGGCATAAACGTCAAAGGCCCAATGCTATAGCATCGTCGTTTGGGTCATATTTCTAGAGAGAGATTGGAAAGCGTGGCCAAGCAAGGTGTCTTACAAGACCTTGATTTCTTAGATTTAGAAACTTGTGTTGATTGTATAAAGAAAAAATTTCTTGCTAGAGCTAGAATCAAAGGGGCAAAGAGGTCTGAAAACACTTTAGACCTAATCCATACTGATATCTGTAGACCTATCACACCTCCGGCTATGGGTGGTTTCAAATATTTCATCACTTTCACAGATGATTACTCTCGTCATAGATGGATTGAACTCTTACAAGAAAAGGGCGAGTCTCTTAGTGCATTCAAGATCTTTAAAGCAGTAGTTAAATTGAAATCTAGCAAGTTGATTAAATATGTGAGATCTAATAGAAGAGGAGAATTTTATGAGAGATATACTGAGATTGGCAGGAACCCTAGGCCATTTGCTTTGTACCTTCAAGAGCATGGCATTGAAGCTTAGTATACTATGCTTGGCACCCCGTAGCAAAATGGGGTTACAGAAAGGCGAAATCATACTCTCATGGATATAGTTAAAAGCATGATCAGTCACTACTCACTGCCAAAATTCTTGTGGGATGATGCACTTAAAACTACTGTTTATATTTTGAATCAAGTCCCTAGCAAGTCAGTTCCAACGACTCCATATGAGTTGTATTTTGGAAGGACTCCTGTGCTGAAGTATATGCGAGTTTGGGGTTGTAAAGCACAAGTAAAACCTTACAATCTATAACAGATGAAGCTTAATACTAAAACTGTTCATGGTTTCTTTATTGGTTATTGCATCGAATCTTGTAGGTACAGATTCTATTGTCCAAATCACACTACTAAGGTAATTGAATTTAACCGAGCTTATTTCTTTAAAGATGCCTTAGACAATGGGAGCCCTGTGCCTAGGCATATTATTTTGCATGATGAAAGTATCATTTTGCCTATGCCTATCTTGACAACCCCTTATGTTGACAGAAATAATGTCATGGATCAGGATGAAACTCAAGATGAATCGTCTTTAGAAGGTGATAGGGATCTGGTTGTTGAACCAAGATGGTCCCAAAGGGTTCGCAGGTCTGCTATTCCAGATGATTACATGGTGTATCCGTAGGAATTTGATTTAGATGCTATTAATAGTTTAGACCCAATATCTTACCAAAAGGCTATTTCTAACTCGCATTCTTCTGAATGGTTGGAGGCTATGAGTGAAGAAATTGCCTCTATGCACCGCAATCACGTATAGGAGCTTGTAGAGCTACCAAAGGGTTTTAAACCAATGTGTTGCTAGTAGGTCTTTAAAACAAAACGAGGAGCTAGAGGTGAAATTAATAAATATAAAGTCAGACTTGTAACTAAGGGTTACAACCAGAAAGAAGGTATTGATTACACAGAAACCTTTTCTCCGGTATCCACCAAAGATGCTTTTAGAGTGGTAATAGCTTTATTTGCACAGCTTGATCTTGATCTTCACTAAATGGATGTCAAGACTGCGTTCTTGGATAGCGATTTGTATGAAAAAGTCTACATGACACAACCTGATGGTTTTGTTGAATCTGGTAAAGAACATCTAGTGTGCAGATTGAAGAGATCCATCTATGGGCTAAAATAGGCCTCTAGACAGTAGTATCTAAAGTTTGATGAAGTTATCACCTCGCTCGATTTTGTTGAGAATGTCTCAGATCAGTGTATCTATCAGAAGTTTGATGGGAATAATTTTGCCATTCTTGTTCTCTATGTTGATGATATCTTGTTAGCCAGCAATTCAATGAATTTTTTCAATGAGATAAAACACCTATTGTCTTGCCATTTTGACATGAAGGACATGAGTGAAGCCTCCTTCGTTCTTGGGATATAAATTCATTGTGATAGATCTCGTGATATTCTTGTTTATCACAGACCACTTATATTGAGCGGGTACTTAAGAGATTTAGAATGAATTCATGTTCTCCCTCACCTGCTCCTGTGCAGAAGGGTGAGCTATTGTCAGAATTACAATGTCCCAAGGATGATAAGAAGAGGGCTGAAATAAGAAAGATACTATATGCTTCCACTGTCGGTAGCCTTATGTATGTTCAAGTGTGTACTCGACCAGATATAGCCTTTGCCATTAGAGTGCTGGGTCGATACTTAAATGATCCAGGTCCGGATCATTGGAAGACTACTAAGAAAGTTATGAGGTATCTTCAAGGTACAAAGAATTATATGTTGACTTACAGAAGGTCAAATTCTCTTAAGGTTGTTGGGTATTCTAATTATGACTTTAAGGGATCAGAAGATATTAAGATTGTTGGCTTTTCAGATTCAAATTTTGCCTCTTGTCTGGATGATCGTAAATCCATGACCGGTTATATTTTCATGTTGTCTAGAGGAGCTGTCTCTTAGAAAAGTGTGAAACAGACACTTACAGCAGTTTCATCTATGGAGGCTGAGTATATTGCTTGCTTTGAGACTACACATCATGCTATATGGCTGAGGAAGTAGATATCTGGCATGCGCTTAGTTGAGTCAATATCACCTCCTCCAACCATTTACTGTGATAACAAATCTGCAGTAAACTATGCTAATAATCACAGAATTTCAGCCGTACAAAGTATTTTGATATCAAACTTATGTTTGTGAAAGAGAAAATTGCTAAATCTCAGGCTCGTGTGGTACACATTCCTGGCACGCAGATGCTTGCAGATCCACTGACTAAGGGCTTACCTGTAGAAGTTTTTTAAAATCATGTCACTTGTATGGGTATTGTGAATTTCTTTAATGCCCTGATCTAGTGAAAGTTTTGAGAACCTTTTATGTTGCAATTTCTCTTTAAGTTTTGTTTTTTTCTGAGTTATGTCTTAGTAGCTATGGTTAGGTGTCTTAGGCTTCTGCTAATGCACAGGTTTGATGTTGTTTTTGTTCTGTTGATACCTGAATCCGTCCCTTTGGATGAGGTTGTTAAACGTGGGGCTCCTTCTCATTACACAACCATTGTGAATTTTATCTTGTACCTTGATCAATCATTCACTAAGCATTTGTTGCTTTGAGTGGATCCCAAAAAGTTTTTGTCGGGCTGTGCAACTTGTAGTGTTTGAGCTATAATTATAGGGATGCATGTTCTTTAGTTCCTTTGCTATATCAAGATCGTGAAGCATCTTGGATTTTGTTCTTGGTTTTACTTTCAATTATGTCTAAACTGTGTTTTGTTGTGTTTTCCTGCCTTATTAGATCTAGTTCGAGTTATGCAACAACTCCAACGAAATTGCATCCAAACACTTCTCTTATCTTTTTATGGTTTCACTATTTGTTCTCTTTCAAAATATCTTTGATCATTCATTGACTTGAAAAAATTTACAAGAGAATTTCAAAAAATAAAACAAACCAAGAAAGCTACAAATAAATGTCTCAATGTACGTCTGGAAATCTGTGATTCCCTGGACACTTAACCGTTCAAGGATGTCTGTTAACGAAAGTTTGTAAACTAATTTTATCATCTCATCAGTTATGCATGGTAGCAATTCTAAGTGGAAAATTAAGTTGGACTTCCGAAATAAAAGAAACTACAGTTTATTTAGGCCCATATGGGCCACTATTTGTAATATTTTGGCCTATATGGGGCACAATTTGTTTTCTTGATGATTTATTAATGAGTTCTTTTTTTTTTTGCCACAATATTGAGTTCAAAAAAACAAAAAAAGACTCTCGTACAGCTTGTCAAGATTCAATTTGCTGGGAGGACTATCATTCTGCTTTTAATGTTCTACGTTAGTAGCTTTTCAACCCTGTGAAGGAGACAAAGTGACAAATTTATGAATGAATCCATATCAATATCATTGATTACTAGCTAATAAAGTATAAGAACTATTTCTAAATGTACTGAATTATTGACAACAATATCATTGCAAGCACGATGATTTGATTGTCATAAACAGGCTTATATATCTTAAAACTTGACAATGATACAATATTACAGGTCAATATTGGGTCCATTTGTTTAAAATTTAAAAATAAATTATTTTTAGATAATTTAAAAATTATAAAAAAAATGTCAGATGTTTTATATAGAGATTAGAGAAGTCATTAATTTGTTTGGTTACATTAATACACAGAGATTATTATTAAATTATTTTTTGATTTTATGATATTTTGTGAATATTTATTTTACAAAAAATAAATTATTATTTAATTACTTCTAAATTATGATATGATATTTTTGGGAGGGCCGTCGGTAGAAGCACTGCTTTTCAGACCAAGTTTTTTTTTTTTTTTTTTTTTTAGAGATTTGGGACCCGGGTCTTTAAACCTTGTGTGTGTATCATATGTTTGAAACTAGTATTGTCATCACGGCTTTTCCAGTCCCTTCAGAGTGCAGAACTGGTGGCAAAATGATCCAGACTCGAGGAAACCGTTAAAGTGAAAGAGCATCGTCTTCATACGCATGTGAAATGGTTATGATATGGGATCTGCATGCAGTACTAAGAATCAGAATCAAATCACAATTATTTGAAATGGTCATGGGAGTCGATCGTCTCAACCACTCCCCAGAATGTTATTTAAAGCAATTCGTCTCTCTTCTTTGTTATCAATTCTCTTTTCATTAAAATGGCCACGAATTACAGCTTCTTCTGCTCACTTCTTGTGTCCCAACTGTGGGAAAGAGACCTACTACACGAAAGATCCTCTTACCTCTGAACAAGTTAACAAGCTAGACTCTGAAGGAAAACTTCCCACATGTGTTACCCAGGATTTCATATTGCAACTGATCAAAGATTCCTGCCCTCAGAATGAAACCTGTGAAATATGCCACGTACAAATAGATGCCGGGTCTTCAGTTTTTTCAATCCCTCAGTGCCTCCACAAGAGGTTCCATAAGAACTGTCTGTTGGACAGATTGTCCCAAGACTACCATTGTCCGACGTGCCAGAGGGAACTGCCACTGGAGACGGCAACAAAGCGCTGGTTTTACACGCAGTCAACCGATCCCTCCACCCTCGGGCGTCAAGGTTTGACTTCTGAATATATATTTCTATTACTATCATTGTTCACAATATTTATTCTTCTCTTTTCGTGTTGCATGTTGAACAGCAGTGGGGGTTTCTGAAGCTGACTTGGGATGGTGGGGGTTGGGTTTGGTTTAATATTTAGGTCTCTTTTTTCAAAGACGATGAAACTATTTATATATGTGTGTGTGTTGTGGTTTGTATAATTTGCTGACCTTGTTCTTATTATTATGACATTAAGTATGTATGGAATGGTTGGATTGTTGGATTCTACATACAAAAATGGGTCTTGAATTTGAGTTACCACAAATCAAAGCAAATCTAGGTGAGGATTGTCTCCGGACTCTAGGACCCTGTGTGAAATTGCTTATTTTCTTCATTTGCATTTGCAGATATGGTTTGGATGAACACGGAAGAATGGAAAACTGGGAAACTGAGATGATCGACAGAAGCGAGCTTGAGAGGATACAAGGACTCTGTTTACCCCTGTTCTTTGGTTCCAAAAACAGAGCGTCTCCTACTTGTTATTATAGGTATTATAAAAAGTTAAGAATGATATATCTCATTTTGTCGGTTATATTGGTCCATAGCCCATCTATAGCTTGCATTAATTATGTTGCGAATTTTTTCTTATAATAGTAAAAATTCGTGAATGACGCTGATTTAACTGAAAAGAATCGCAAAAAAATAAAAAAAGAAAAGAAAGAGATGCAATTTTATAGCGAAAAGAGGAGAAAATAACTTGGAAAACACAATCTGATTAAGATCAGAATCAGACTAAGACGTTCTTCAGTGGCTTGAATGCATGGACGATATGATTCAGACGAAACACAGAATAAGCATGGAGCCGAGTGAAACCGAAAATGATTTAACAAAATAAGGGTTTCCAGATTACTATGTTAAAAGGGATTATTTTTAGTGCACGTGTAGTGGCAGCAAGTTGTTAAAAAGGACACTTCTATAGTTTTATGAATATATAATGTCACCTCTGGAATGAGAAGCCACGAAGCGTTGCAATTAGCATGACACGTGTTATTTGCGAGGTTTTTATTACAACTAAAATAAGGTTTTTTCTTCTCTTTTTTTTTTTAATTTTTGGAAACTTGCATGATTGTCAAATATCATATATTTACACCAATTAAAATGACATAACGAATCCACTAGTCCCCAAAAAAAAAAAAAAGCCCCTTTTCATATATGAAATTTTTGAGGTAGCGAGAACGAGAATTTAAACATAGCATAAACCAAAATTTCAAAAATACTGAACACTTGGCAGCAAGAATACTTCTAGACATAGCACCACTAATTATTTCAAACATGCCCCCTTGTCTGATATGTCATCACCAACACTCAACAGATGGCCATCCTGTTTGCCTCTCAGCTGTTGAGAAGATCTTTTTTGCAACTAATCATTTGCTCGAATCCTACGAAGCAGACCCAGAAAAATAAATTCTTCACGGCATGATGCAGAATAATCATTCCGTAATTCAATTGATACTGACAATAAAAATTCAGTTTAAAGTTGAAAGCTTTAACTGTCAAATTACTCCAAGCCAGAACATAAGAAGAATGTAAGAAAAATTCCATATGTATGTTAACTATTCAGAACCTCAGATATATAAGATAAAATATTAAAGGCTCTTGAATCCAGCAAACTGAAACTGAAAGCTAATCAATCTTTTTTTAACCAACAAGCTAATCACTATTTGTCTTAACCTTGACCTTTATTTATTGTAATGGCAAAAGACAACTTAAGTGATCAACTAGATATACCAACTACGTGCTAGCTACAGGTATTCGAAATAATTGAAGCCACAAAATAAGCCTATTTGATGCTGAAAAATCATGTGTGGGAAAATGTGATAGACCAAACAATTGCACGGTAGATTTGGACCATTTCCCGTTCTGCTTGCTCGTCCTCTGGCATATCATTAAATCCTGCTCCACTTCACGCGCCTGAGATATTTTAAGTCGATAAGTCAATGGTTCAATAATGTCCAAAAGCAAGGTGCCTAAATAGTTCGAGCTAGATTTATCCAAAACAGAAACACTATTACAACAGTCAGAGGTCAGAATATTTTATGGAGGCTAAACAGAACAAACACAGAGAGCCATAATAGCTGGATCACCAGCCTTCACTTTAAGAATAATGAAGTCGGCGTAAGTATAGCAGAAAAATATAATAGACTTTTGAAATTGGTGTTATAAGAATAATGTCTATGATTAATATTGGTATTCCTATATTTAAATAAAAATGAAAGCAGTGATAGATGGTTTATATTCCTGCAATGTCAGTTCACAAATGATGTTAGAACAACCTCGAGTTGAAAAACATGCATAGAAGCAGCTTGAAAAGGAAAACATACAATGAAATATTGAAAAATGTCCCGTAACAAATAATGAAATAAATGAAGAAATGCTATTATATATATATATATATATATATTTTCCCTAATACTTTCCACATAATTTGCTCTATTTTTCTTTTGCATGCACGTGAAGAAAGGTCTTGGCCCAAAAAAACACAGAGCAATGTGTTGATCAAAGCTGTCTGTGTTAACTATAACAAATATTTAAACAATTGTCGAACCTAAATGATAAGGCAATACTAGCATATAACCCTCAATAATTTAGAACTTTTCTAGTGCCCTTTATTATTCTAAGGCAACCTTCTATAAAAGTAACAGAATGAGAAACGGAAAATTACGTCGCTCCCTCAAGACTATACCTTTAAAAGTTTTTTGGAAAACAGTGGTAAATAAAAATAGTAAATTACATAGTAGAGTAATGAAAAAAGAAATAAATCACCAAAATGAGGGGAAAAAAGACCCATAAAGTTTATATTAACATAGCTACCGAGAACTGCATGATGTGAAACATATTTTTTAAAAAATAAGATTTTGTTTATAGTTGTCAAATTATTATTTTATGTTCAAAGAGGAGAAGCAAGAAAATCATGTGCATTACCTAAAAAAGATTCTAAGATTTAAATTATATCCATTCTTTTCCATATTTTTTACCAGTCTTCTCAGGAATTTTTTGTTTATAACCCACATACAGGCCACAAAGTAGCAAGATGGCAAGGATTAAATAAGTCCTTGATTCTACAATCTCAGCTGATTCTAACTCTTTCTTGAATACTGCAAATCTAGCATTTACTCCCTCATGCAATGCAAAAAAAAAAAAAAACAAATGTAGTTAAATAATAGTCAAATATGGTGCATTAAATTAATTAAAATCTCATAACAAATCACACTCACCGTAACTACCAAGCGAGCAAATAATCTAAATAAACTTACAATTATAAAGAATGTAATCCAAGAAATAAAATAAAAAAAAGTATAATTCTGCATCATTTTTCTACAGAATATGTTGTAGGCAATGAAAACAATCAGTCAACTTTCTTAGAACAATGCCTAGTCTGACTACACTACTTATAATTTATTTAAAGCTTTGGCAGGATAAAAAACACCTTAGGATATCAGAACTGTGCTAAGAATAGTGGTATATCAAAACCCACTCTTCATACCTAAGCATGTAATATGAAACAACAAACCCATCTTCATACCTAAGAATGTCAGATGAGGATTGGGTTAGAGCAAAGCTCATGCTACAATCTAATGAAACAGAAAGTTATGGCATTATTTAAATATCAGATTCATAATAATGAAAAAGTCTGGCAGAGTTACCCAATGTCCCACCAAAAAAAAATTAGGGAGAATATCAATGAAAGACCTCTGAAATGATATAATATTAGACAAGGACTTGTAACAAATATACATTAATAATTGACAAGTGAAAGTTCAAGTTTTGACAAGTATATGATCCGTCCAACTCCTTATCTAATATTAAATCATTTTAGCGGTCCTTCATTGATATTCTCCCAAAAAATTAGCTCCACACTTTGCAGGTCTCCAGCTGAAAAAATAATGACTTCATCATAGTTGAAAAAGGAAAAAGCAAAGGAGAACTCAACGAATTATAATAAAGGAATAACAAAAAGATTATTTGTCTTACAACCTAAACATTGTTAGAATAAAATTATGGGAACAAAGACACACATTTCCCCTTCACCAAACACCGTGTCTGCTTGCATTGATAGTGTTAAAATAAGGAGTGGTTGACTTCATTGTGTAATACGTTTGAAAGATGTGCAGGTTGTATAAGGACACGAATGCATTCATTTTGTACACCACCAATGCACCTTTTCATACTCAGAGAATGGGATGATGCATTTTTCAGAAATTAGACAAGTTACTGTTTCTGTTGACAGGTCCATGCATAAGCGGTGAAGACAAAGGCTATACACTTTTTACCTGAATGTTCAATATGCATGCAGACAAATTTCCATATCATGGTTTACACTATCAAGAGTTTCATTCCACTTTGCCGTATAAATATTAATACACTTTCAAAACTTACTCATTTTGTTAATCACAGGTATAACAATGGATTCAGCTTGATATACATGCTCATCAGGGCTATAAATTGACCCCCTTTAGCTGAGCATTGCATGTCAAGAAAATAAAAACAGATCTCACTTGAAACCCCACCTCAACCAGCATGAACTGAGCATAGTATGCAGTTGCTAAAAAGAGCAGGCTATAACTTCATAAATTTTGTTGCCTTCTGCAAATTTAAAAGCTAATGGGGTCATGATCTAAAATCACCAAACAGCGTCATAATTTGAAGAGTAAAAGAAGGAAAAATGATAAAGATTGGTAAACAAGGACTTTATCTTGCTGATGTCATGTTCAGAAGATTTAAGCTGAAAAACATTGGCAGCATTGTAATTGAATGTTTGAAAACGTATGGCAAATAGAAGAAAACATATTCATATGACATTTAATGATCTTGCTTTGATGGAAAACACAAATTTGGCTTTGATGTAGACTGGTTAGCACAAAAGCAGTATGGCATCTTTATTAATGTCAACTTGCATTGGTCAGTACAAACATATTTTTGGTTATTCAAAACATCCAAACTTTCAACATGTGATCCATACTTGTAGGCTAATGCAATTTTATTACTGTCAGGTTGGTCAAAATTCTTTTTTATTTTGCTATTTTCATGTTTAACCAACACAGTTTGAGCTTCATTTGCACATGATCCATAGCCATTCATTTTCTCTTTCTTTCAGTCTGGTCAAGACATGGAGGTTAAACTTTATTCGTTACTAGCTAAGTACTATTACACTTTGGTCAATGCGACCAATCCAACAAACTTGAAGTCTCTACGGAGCCTTTGCAACCTAAAGGAACTATGCAGTATGCCATTGACTGCAAAGTTTGAAAACTGAAAAGAAGGTATATTGGGAGCTTGAATAACCAATAAAGAGCAGAAGAAGATGGGTTCAATAAGCCTAATAAAAAAAAAAAAGACAGAGAAATCTTGGATAAACCAACATCATATCCAGATTAATACGCCTCTCCAAGTATTAAAGATCAGACTTATAGACATGAGCATAATTAATAGAAATTAGAAGGAGATGATCTACCACACCACGAGCCTCATGAATCAACATTAGTTCTAGAAAACAGACAGCACCCTCATTAAGACCTGCCACATTACTGGCCTAAAAAACGCAAGCTGCAGAAATAGAGACAGATTGATAGGAAATTTGGAAAATGTTATTTTTGAAAGAAATAAGCTCTTTTGTTATTGAAATATATATATATATATATATATAATATATATATATATATATATTTTAATTTCCTTAATGGGATGTTAGGTAACCTTAAGCTTATAAATAGGTTGCCTCTTGCATTTGGAAGCATACTAGGATGATGAATGAATACTATAAATCTGATCGCTCTCCCCCCCCCCCCCAACCCTCTGTTTCATTCTCTCTTGGACCCCCACTGCTCTGTCCATCCTTCTCTCTCTGTGTTCTGCCTCTCTTCTCTCCCTATCTGTTCTCGTCCCACTCTGTCTCAATCTCTGTTTTTGTTGCATTTCCCTTTTCTTGTTCTGTTCAAATCAGTGTGAGCGTGAGTGTGTGCGTATGTTGCATCACATGTGCTTTTAAATAAGTTCTGGCATGTGACTTGCGAGATAGTGAGTAAGGAGAGTAGAAAAATAATGATGTAAGGTGTTGTAAATGTCAAAAAACAAAAAATCAAAACGAAAATTAACAGAAAAATAAGCCTGGTGTAGGAGTAGTAGCAGCCAATGAATTGAAGCAGAAAACGCATCAGGAAAAACCAAAGCTATGGAGTTAAGAGCAAATCCAAACCTTCTATAATAAGCCTTAATATCTACTCCTGTGAAGCTGAAGTGTATTTGCCATTATTTAGGATAGGAATGAATTTAACCAAGAAAATCACATAAAATCGCAAGCCATAACACTTTAAATTTGAGGAAATAAGTATTTCCCGCCCACAAAGGCCGCTGCGTGCAAAAAAGTTAGAAATAAAAACCTATATAGCAAATGCTTACGGTCGCTCCGTCATGGCGATCAATTGCCCACAAATGAAGAGAATCTTGAGATCGAAATCGAAATTTAAATTTTGAATAGAAATTGAGGCCAAAATGCAGAACCGATAATGAAAATTATAAAACTAAATTTAATATAAAAACACATTAATCTCAAATGCCAAAATCACCTGAGCTCGGCATTGCTCTAATCTATAAGAATGTGCTACGAACAACAAATATTTTGCATGCTCCTATACAGCCCCACACCCTTTCGTGCGGCCCCGAATCCTTTGTAGCTTTAACCTGTGAGCCAAGAATCAGATGAAGAAGGAACAGAAGATGAAGAAGATGAAGAATAGAGTAGAAAACGACGAAGAAGGAAAGCGAAGAAAGAAAGACTGCAGGAGACAGAGAAACAAAAGCTTTGAGAAATCTCACCTGTGAAACTGATGAAGAAGTGTCTAGACCACGAAGAAAGACGTGCTTACATATACATGAACATTAAGGCCTGTTTCGTATGCAGGTCTCAATTTAGAGGAATTGTAATTGGGACTGAAAGTGGGGAAAAAAAAACTTGTGAACCTAAACTCTTCCGATCACGCGAGAAATCTTGCTTTGTTTTCCACCAATGTGAGAAATCTTGCTTCATTTTTCACCGGATTGCATTCTCGATCTGATTCCGCGACTAATGATGGAGAATTCCAACAACAACATCATGTCGAGGAAGAAGATCGATCAAATGGCCCTTTGGTTGGGTTCCACCCTTTCATCGGCTTTCTTCTCCTCCCTGGAATGCTTCTCCTGCATCAACCTCTCCACAGATGAAAATTCAAGATTGTATACCGCTCCTCCTACCTTGTCTTCTTCCTCTTCTTTCTTCTTGTTGCTCTTCTGTATTTTCATCACTCTTCTCTGTTATTTTTCACAATACTAGATGCAGTTCAAGAACGAAACCATGAGGAGGGATTGAATCGTGAAAGGAGTGCAGTACTGAAAACGGCAAGGATGCAGATGACGGCTATGGGTTCAAGTGGCCGTAGCTCGGGTTCGTGCCGCGGAGGAGAGGCTTGGGTCCTTGATCATTCATAAACGCATTTTTATAATTAAATAAGTATAAATTTTAATTTGAATTTAATTATATTTATTAAAATTTTATATCTATTTAATTGATATTTATATTTTTTTTTCACCACTTAATTATAAGATAAAAAAGTTTTAATATAAAATTCACCCATATTTTTTTATCTTCATATTTTGTAAAGAAAAAAAATAAACTAAATAAAAGGAAAGAAGGAAAAGAGAAATATATATATATATATATATATGTATGTATGTATGTATGTATGTATGTATGTATGTATGTATGTTTAGAGTTGCACATCGATAAAAAATAAAAAAAGGAGCCTCCACTTTAACTATATATACTCCCTCCATCAAGAGGAAAGGCATCGAATCATTTATCTAAGTACATTAAAAATTCTCTCTAAGATATTCGGAGCTCATAGAAGCCTTTTAAAGGCTGAAAGCGAAATCATTGAAGAGTTTCATAAATTATAATTATTTCTTTTCTACTCCTTAATTTTCTCTATAATCATTTTTTATGATTGGAGATTTTAGAACAGTGTTATTTGATTCTATTATGTGTTTCTAAATTACCCAGTTGGGATAAGGATGTAGCCCAATTGGAGAGCTAGTTTTTTTTTTCTTTGTTTTGACTCTTTACATTTATATTTATAAATATTTTTATTTTTTTCAATTATATTTATTTCTCTTGTTCTTCATATTGATTTAATAACTGGCCACCATTTAATCAAATATATGGGTAATCTTGATGGACTGGGAGGTGAAGAGAGAACCTAAATCTAGAAAAATAAACATAAATAACTAGGCTAAAAGTAGTTCTAAAAATTTATAGTGATTTAAACTATAACTTCACGGTTTAATTAGTTGCTTGGATATTATGGGAACGAATTCAACACTAATTAAAAAGGGACTAATAATTCAAGAATATTAGGACACTTCAGAAATAGTTGTCATTATAATTGATCCGAGTCAATTCAAAGGGTAGAAACTAGCAACCTATAGGGTAAATTCTAAATTCCAACGCTTCAAGTGATTGTATTTTCATCATCATTATTTTCTTTATTTATTTTTATTCTTTATATTTTCATCAAAATTATTCATTTTATCTATTTTTCTTGAACTATTAATTATTTAAATTAGTAAAAGTGTAACTTCCCTGTGGGTTCAACATCTGAAATACTCTGAGTAATTTATTACTGTGATCTTGTACACTTGTGAGTGATCAATCATTCTTCTCCTTCTCTTATCTTCAATCTCCTTCTCCCTTCAGATTTGGCAGTGGCATCAGTGGAGAACAACATCGCTTGGCCTAAAAAGAGGACAAACGGTGAGAGGTGTTAACTGAGTTAAGGCTGAGGGAGAGAGGGGTGGGGGCAATTTGATTTGAAAATTTTAGTAGAGGTTGTGATAGAATTTTTGAAATTGAGGCAAGAACAAGATAAGTACTAGTTTAGGCATCATTCTCTTATATCTATTCACACTTTTATTTTAAATTTCCTGACTTGAAGTCATTCTTTGATATATTTTGAAGCAAGGGATGAACTTCGTGACACTTTTCTTGTTGCCAGGGGTCTGATTGTGTCTGCCATCAATGTTTTAATTTGGAAGTTTTCTTGGATTAATTGCCCCTCTATCATCAACAAGTGAATTGCCCAAATGATTGTTGAGGAAAAGAGATGGATTCCACTAGGTTCTTGATTTGATGTCTTAGTAGCTATGATTAGGTGTGTCTTAAGCTTCTACTAATGCGAAGGTTTGATGTGGTACCGGAATCCTTCCCTTTGGATGAGGTTGTCAAACGTAGGGCTCACTGTGAATTTTATCTTGTATCTTGATCAATTAATATACACAAAGCATTTGTTGCTTTGAGTGGATCTCAAAAAGTTTTCACTGCGCTATGCAACTTTGGAGTGTTTGAGCTATGATTATAGGGATGTGTTATTTAGACTGTGCTTTCAATCCTCCATCCCTTCTGGCTCCTTTCATATATCAAGATCATGAAGCATTTGGGATTTTAATTTGTTTTTTTATTTTACTTTCAATTGTGTCTAAACTTTGTTTTGCTGTGTTTTCCATCTTGCCTTATTTCTTTGTGGTATAACTTTGTTCATAGTTGTTTAAAGTTTTTTTAATAAATAAATATCATTGCCTTGGCGGATAAAAAATTGAGAATTGTTTGTAATTAATTTTTTCAATCTCATTTACAAATCAAACCTTGGCCTTTACAACTAACTAAAATCTTTATATAATTTTATCAAAAAAAATTTAAACATTATATAATTTTTTAAAAAAATTTTAAACATGTAAAGCATGTAATTAATTTTCCCTAACTTTCACTTCTAGCCTCTATTATAACTTGCCAATCATGTACACTCATTTCTGAGGGTACTTCCTCTTCTCTGTTGTTCTTGTTTCCATCAATCTACATCCAAACACTTCTTTCTTTCTTTTTTGATTTCGTTCCCATTCTTTTTGGAGATAACTTTAATCGTTTTGTTAACTTGAAAAATTACATAAAAAATTGAAATAAATCCAATAAAGTTACAAATAAATTTCTCAATATACATCTACAAATCTATGTTTCCCTGGATACTTAACTATTCAAAGATGCCCATTTTAACATCTTGATTTTCTAATTCGGTGATTAACTATTAATCAAGAGTAAAGTGATAATTAGTAAATAATTAGAGATTTGGATGATTAGTTAATAATTGATGTATTAGGGATGTTAAATGAGCAGATATAAGTGAAAGAACTGCTTTCCAAAGAAAGCGTGTGTGCATGTGAGAATTTTGCTTGCTGTGCTACACGCCACAGCTAATGTTGCCTACGCCACAGCACATGTACCAAAAAGTGACCTTTTAATTTGTGAATTTGGGTGAGTTTCAGAAGAGGAAATCAGAAAAAACACAAGAAGGAGAAGAGAAGAGATCAGGGTCAGCTAAGGCAACCATTTTCGGAGCATTGAAAGGCACTTCTAACCAATAACTTATTGGGTAAACTTCATATAGCCCTTACCTTCAATTCTATTATAATTTTTATGAATATGAGTTATAGAGAAATTGAATTGGAGAAATTTAAAGGGTTAGTTTCTCACCCTATAATCATAAAAAGGTTCTTGAGAATTAAATTAGAGTTTTGTGACTGAATTAGAGTTGAACGATAAAGCTTTGAACTTATAAACTCTATTTAGCCCTACTTCAGTGAAAATTAGGGGTGGAAGTGATGATAAAGCGAAATGGAATAATTTGAGATGATATAAAGTAGTAATTGAGCGATAATAAACTTAGATTGATTAAGCGATAAGAAATAAATGGCTAATTATAGCTATAGTTGATAAATAAGTGTTTTTGGTCAATTAAGTTAGTTAACTAATTGTGCCAATTATGTGTAGATTAGCATATTTTGTGTGTAAGTTGAGGAAGGAAGTTTGTGACGAGCTATAATGGTAATTGAAGCCACGGGTAACTTTTCTTGTGATAAAAGAGTTAAGATAATTGAATAACTTTTTTTGTTTGACTATTTATTATAATTGTGTGTAAGTATGCTATCTATTACATGAAACTATTCTAAATTGAGCATATTTTGTGTTATTGCATGACTATGACATGAAAATGAACTTTTGTTAAATAAGTAAATGAAATTTGTGTAATTTGATATGAAAATGTGTATAGTATATATGAGTTTGGTGGTGATTGAGAACCTATGATTGGTTTGAAAAGCATGATCATAAAGGTAGGAGTTCACCCGTATGGAGATGCAGAGAAAGACTATATGACATTATTCTTCTTAATGCCCGACAAGGTGCAGTGTTGGAAAATTATATCTCCTTCATGCCTTTCAAGATGCGGTGTTAGAAATTATTATCTTAGTGCCTATTAAGGTGCGGTGTTGAAGATTTAAACTCTTTAGTATCGACATGATGTGGTGTTGGAGTTAACGATATCCCATTATGTATATTAGGGGAAACCATAGTTCAGAAGTGAGATAAAATATCTTTAGTCGGGTGATTCTAACACTGAAGGTGAACTTAAGGCCGATGAGAGTGTATATTGGTCTAAGGCGAGCCTATAGTTTCGAGTCAAGGTAATTTCGAGTTCGGTTGGTAGTGATCATGCTATATGATTGAAAAGTGGTGAAAAATGGTGAACATACTTTTAAAAGTGGTAAAATGTTATATTTATGTGACTTAAAGTGAAACATGTAATATATGTTATGTTTAATGGTATATTATGCTATACTTTCATAAAATCACATGTGATAATTGATAGTAGAGAATTATTCTGTTACTGAGATTATTATCTCAACCTCGTGATTACATTTTTACAGGTCAGAGTACTGATTAAAGCAAGGAAAAAGAGTATAAACCAACATAATGGTGCCATTATTGTAGAAATTCTTGAGTTTGTATAATGAACCAAAATCTTTGTGAAATGTGTGTACATAAGTTGTTATAGGGATTGCACGCATATGTTGAATAGTGAATTAGTGAAATTGTAGAGATTAGGATGATTTTGTAAATCTTAGCCCATACAAGTAGATATGTGATGAATGATTAACAAAAACTAAGATTTAATTATAAATATGTTGTGAATGTGTGGTGACTTTTGGTGATAATGTAGAGAAAATGGTTAAAGAAAAAGTTTTTAAGTCAAGTTGTAAGAAATTACTAAACTGTGAAAATTGGCCGTTTAACAGCCAATTTTGATATTTGTATATATATGTGATAAAATATGGTCAATCAGGTGTAGTAGGTCTTTTTAGACTTAATTCAAGACCTAGAATAGTTTAATAAGATTTAAGGATTGATTAACTAACTTTTTGCACCCCGGGTGTTCAAATTTTAATCGGACTACTAGATTGTATCCAAACTTATTTTTATTAATAGCTTATGAACTAAACTACATTTGAGAGCTCGAATCACTCCAATCGACGTCGTATATGAAAATGACCGCATGTCAAAAATTTGTCATTTAAGCTGTCAAATGA